AATAATGGAGGCCGCCCGGGAAACTGCCAGGGACCAATTCTGTTCGCTCATTATTTTCTTTCGCATTTCTCTCATGTCTTTCTCATAACTTATTCATTTTTCTATTTGTCACTGACAAATTTATTTCTATCGGTCGTAACAATCAAATCCATTTAGACGACCGATTCTTGTTTTCTTTTAATTCTACAATCTTACTTTCTCACGCGCAACCATTCTTCACTTTTCTTTTGAGCGACTTTCACATGTTTAGAATGTCGTAATTGCTGAGAAATTTAATACTGCTCGATTTTGGCGAATCCGCGCGTGCATAGTGGTGCGAGATGTATTACACAATTTAATTGTATGGTATAATTTGATAGAATTACGAAACAGTTAAGCATGAAGAAAAAGAAGCTGTAATGAATTTTATTTAACCATTGATTTAATTAAATATTTAACTCTAAGATTATAATATGGAATTATATTAATTGACTTTATTTTAAATAAAAATTGTTACTTAAAAATCACTTTTTATATTATTAATAAATACAATCTACGAATTACTAACTTGAAATAATTATCTTACTTATTAAATTATTTACAAAAAAATCTTATGTGGATTTGTCGAGTTAAAAATTTGATGTCAATGTCTTCTAAAATGAATCATTGATTGCAAACAGTATCTTAATGACATTTTTACACATAACATTGAACAAAAATTTAATAAATATTTAATTAATATTAAAAGAGCTATATTTTGAAGTTTAAAAAAATGTTTTAAATGGTTGTGAGAGAATATTTTGGAATCTAAATGGTAAAAGTGTTCACTACGATATCAGAGTTAAATAGTTAACCATAGGTATTAGAATAAGAGTAAAGAGAGAGTGAAATATATACTTTATCCGTCAAGAGAAAAAGATCTTTTAAGGCTACGTTAGTATCTCGAACCACTGCGCAGCGGCGATGTTAAAGTACAGGAGTAAAGCTTAGATATTCGGGTCTGGACGAAAGAACCGAACGAGCAATTCTATACAAAGAGATATGCGCAATAAAATCTGTTAGCGCATCATAGCCGAGTCCGGCCAAAAATTGTCGCAGTTCGAAAACATGGAATCTTTCTGGGGAAATAATTTTGGGACCGGAAACGTATGCGTTAATAACACAAATTATATTTGCTTTTATCATTTTTATTTGTATTATTAGCAGCGCAATAAGTAACACGATTGTGTAATATTAAGTCTTCATGGGATTGAGCTGAAGAAGAAATTCCATTATGTGATTATTACATCGCTATTACTCATTGTACTGGCAATAACTCATATAACAATTTTCAGTAATATACGAAAACATACGACATCTTGACATATCTTATATTCTTTTTTACATATTGAAATTTTTAAACATTCCCCGAAATTTTCCTTAAATTATTCGAACTTGCGTTACTTTTTAGCCAGTTTTTAGCCGATTTACATTGCTAACATTTGAACTAGAAAATAGTTAATAGTTTTGTTTGATTCCGTTGTATAATTAAGACATCATATAATACCATAAAACATCCTTTATATCTTCTCGTTATGTTAAATAAATTAGTAATTAATTATTTTTCATTTTGGTAAAATTAGCCAGAAGATTAAAAACATCTACATCAATTATTAAATATATTCTATTATATTTAAAAAGAACTGTATATGAAGATTAAATAAAAAATTTAAGGAAAATATTAAAATAAATAATCTGTTAATATATTTTTATTAAAATAAAATTTGAATATTTTTATCTACATTTGTTTGAGGATTAAATTGTCTTTATTTTTTATTTAAAACTGTGTGTGTATATATATATATATATGTATATAAACGCGAATTACATATAAGTATAGGAAGAAATCATTTTATACGTAACAAAAATAATTGGTTCATATTTAAATTGTTTTCAACTTGAATAGTTTTAGTCCTTATTTAAAATAACGAGCAGATATTTCGGACTATTTTTCATCATTCATAGAAAAACACTTTTGTGCTCTTTCAACGTTTTAAATTCAACGTTTCACGAATTAAACAGCAATTAAACACTTCTATTGGATTAATTTCTTAGAGAAAAGTTATACTTGAATGAAATGTATTAGAGTCTACAATAAAAAATAGAAGCTGAGACTTTCCTAGACACTGATTTGCATATAGATTCTCATTTACAGAATTAATATTTGTCGAAAACATTAGGGCGCGCCCATACATCCACGCGAATACATTCTATTCAGGAGCACAGCGAAGAAACTTTGGCAAATTTCATTGTTCGCTTTTCATTTTAGCGACGTTACGTGGCAGTTCAGCTACGCCTAATTCTAGCGTACTGTGCTATTCGTAGTAGACGCCAAATCTGTTCACGTTCGCTAATTCTTCTTGTGTTGAAACCCATAATTTCTTGCAAAACACAGACAAGTTTTTTACTTAATATCAGAAAAGTTTCTGATGTTTTTATTTTCTAATTATTATGTCTAATTTTAAATCGTTTAGTTAATGAGTAATATATAAAGTAATAAATAATAAAATAATAAAATAATTAATTTTTCAAATAAACATTTAATAATCTTTTTCTGATTTTGTCAGTATTACATTTACATTCTTTATTCTAAGAATGATTGAATACTGCGTTTCTTTTTTATTATTTTTTGTCAGAGACGTACATGTATAAACAGAATCAATAATTTTAAATAAATATTTGCATATATTTTTATACGTCTTAATTTAACAAATTACAATTTTTTGTTTATAAACTAGTGGTAAGCAAAACCAATAATCTGTATCTTGCATTTGCACTCGCTGATTACGCTATATTTAAATTTAAGCAATCGAAAGTTTTCCTTTTTCCATAAAATTTTGTGAAACCACGTTTTTCTATACCATCAACGTATCTATATTTTTTCTTATCTGCCTTTCTCAATATCGATCCCATTTTCAACTTTGGTTTGGATTGTATATAAGCTGTCGAAAACACATTTGAAATTGCGCCTCGAGTTGTCATGGTTCACGTAGACGTGCGAAAATTGGACGCAATAGTTTACGTTCTCATGCAAAAAAGTTGCTATTAGCTGATTTCGTATATACCGTTTAGTACAAGATTAATAATAAAGCTTACAGCGGGCGCCGAGTTAGAATGCCCGTAAAACTAGCGCGTGATCTAAATTAAGAATTAGATTAAACGACGATATTTTGATTTTCATGGGGAGGGTATTTTGTTAATGCAATTCGTCAAGAAAGCCAACGAGAGCCTAGCTAGATTTTGAAGAGAAGCATCCTTTCTTTCTTGTCGAAAAGCCCGTCGTTCGAATAATTAAGCAATCGAGTTTCGCTAACACATTACGAAAGCGAATCTCGATAAGTATAAAAAAAATTATTTATAAGATTCATGTTCGTCATAGAAGTTATTGAGCTATACTAGAATCTTGCATGCAATTCGTCAACTCTTTGTTCGTATAAGTTGACAAACTTCCTATTGCCGACTTATCCCTTTTATTACGAATGTGCTGTTTAATATTTTTAAATATTTATAAGTCAAGTAGTCACATATAAATTTTAATAGTTTTACTATAATTTATGATTATATTTTGTTAATATTAAAATATACTAATAATACAAAAAGGATAAGCGAATTAATCGGCATTGAAGATTCACGTAGAATCGGCACGCTCAGATTTCTTGATTTCATTATTTATTTTGGAGCTTTTCGAGAAAGAGAAAGAGCGTAGAAAGCCGGCGGCTAGGAAGCGCATTAAAAAAGCGTAACGTTTGCACGCTCGGCACTCGATTATCTTTTATCGAGGGCGTTCTCTACGGGCACGACGACACTTCGACGACGCAAAACTCGTCGCCGACGACGCGTCACATTCATAGAGGCATCTCCGTTAATTGACTAAATTTCTCTCCCCGTATATGATCCGGCGTCATTTAGTTCAATAGATCAATTTATGATTGGATCTGTAACCTGCTTGCGCGACAGTCATTAGTAACTCACGATTTTCGCATAATTTACTACGACATTTATTGAGCGTGATCTTACGACGTAAACTAGGCGACGATTAGTTTCAAATACCGTAGAACGATTCTCCGTTTCATCTTCGTATACGGCACAGAAAGACATCCCCATTAACAGGACTCTAATTAACGGACTTTAGCGTGTTTGAGCGAAGCGAGATTATTTTAGAGAAATGGACGCGCGTCGGCGGAGTCGCCGAATTCCGCCGGCAAAATATTTCGCATAACTCGTTGCACCACTCGCATATTTTCACTAATTTGCGTTATTTTTTCTCATATAAATGAATCATTGTAATATTAACTTTTATTTCCAAAATTGGGCAAGCTAATTATTGATTGTAATTTTGATTATTTATAAAGTTTAATCTAAATAATATTTAAGCTACCTATGTTATCTGAGATACGAGACTTAATTTAATGTAATAGTTTTAGTAGAGAACGTTTAACTATTTTTATGATACTGTTTTCATTTATATTGCAATGAGCAAAATAGTGCAGAACTTTTCAATTTTCTTTCTATTTTTCTTCAAAATTTGGGAAACTTGTTTTTTGTACCATAAACCTTTCTTAGCGTTTTGTAAATTTTTCATAAGCAGATAAAATTTTACGTTCTTTTATACAAAGGTCATTCTCTTTTGAGAAAATATATATAATATATTACATAAATTCATACTACAATACTATACAATTATGTGAATATAATCAAAATGCAGATAATATTATAATACAGAGATTTGTTTCTTTGAAAAAATATTAAAATCTTTATGTAATTAAATAAAAATTTAAAACTTCGTTTTGTTTTTCACTTGAAAGTTCAAAAAATTTAATATTCTTGCTTATAAACTTGCTTTCTTATTCCAAAGTCTCTCTCAATATCTCGCATAATTGTTAATTTTGTTAATTTATCACTAAATATACTCTTTATTTTTATTTAAATCTTTTATTTTATGTAAATTAAGAATCAATACCAATATATTTATGAACTTCATCTTTATTTATTCTTGTGTCAGAGCGTGAAATTTTAAGGATCTGTCTTACGAGTGGTGCCAATATGCGAGGACGATCCTTGAATAAATGTGAAAGCGACTTCTTAAGAACGCGTCGCGGATAGAATAGAACGCAAAATAAGCGTTCCTGCTTGCAGACGTAGTCGATGTGACGTTAGTCATCGTCGTCGAGGCCGAGAAGTTCCGGCGGAAGTCGCCTGTGTCGACAGCATATGGTGAGACAGAGCACTCGCACAGCCAATCGGAACTGGGGGCTTAGTGTGCTCAGCACAACCGCTTTCCAAAAGCTGTTTGTGACTCCCAGCCACACCACGGCAAAGTGTAAAAACGGCACCTACAGTTGAATAAGATCAAAGAGATTAGAGATACTATACATATAAACAAATATTTTTTTAATGAATCTCCTCTCGTAATTTATGCTCAGGAGTCACCCTTTATTCGTTTTTCTTGTTACTTTTTCTTGCGATTTGAAGGTGAAATCCTGATTGTTATTTTTTTAAGTTTTGTTAAGTGTTCTTTTCAGACTAAATAATAAATAATTCCAATTTGTAATAATTATATGCTTATGAGCAAAAAACCACAAGTAGAAATTTTTTTTAATTCAAATAACTAATTTCAGTTAATAAAAACTTAAACAAAAAAGAAATAAAATTTATTTTAAATATATTATAAAAAATGTCGTGTATAGATGAATAAGAGAGAAGTATTTCAATTCTATATCTTCTCTCTTCTATAGAAGTGTCACACGAAGTATGCCCTTACATGCGAACTTCTTACGCTTACTAGCAAGCATTCTCTATTAACCTACTTTGCTTTACAACGTACCGACCTACATTTTTAATCGTCTCATTTTCAATGCCTCTTTTCACAAAGTTCAAAGTTATTTTTAAATCATATCAATGTCAAGCGAGTGTCATTACAGTCGTCCTAATACCGAAGTTTTCAGAAAAGTAATTTTAACAATCACAGAAGTGTACTACCTCATCAGCAAAATAAAAGCATTTAAAAATTGTATTATTTTTTACACTAAAATTGAAAGTAACTATTATATTAATCAGTTAATTTTGTAACTATTTAATTTTCAGAAGAAATCAATCAAACATATAGGTCTAGATATTATTTTCTATTTAAATTATGCTTAATACTATACATTATAGATTACTTTGGTTTTCTAATTGATTCTAAATTTATTATTTTTTGCAACACATATTAATTATAAATAATACATGTATGATTTTAAGACACATTAAGTAAATTTATTTATAATATTAGTATATTGTAAATTCATATTTATAAGATTAAATTATTTTTCCAAATATTAATTCAGTAGATTGTGAGAAATATTACCTGAGGAGGTCCGTTAACGACTGCGTATATCCTTAATCCGGCATATGGAGCCCATGATATCCAGAAAGCCATCACTAGGACGAAAGACATGATGTGACTCGGATTGCTCAGATTTTCCGATAACGCAGTAGCATACTCCTTGTCGTGGATTAGAACGCCGGACTTCAATCGCCTCATCATGGAGAATATATAGAAGTATGTATAGACGATGGTGATAACTGACGGCCCCAACACGAGAATAGACAACGTGATGGTATATGCGGCCATGTTGCCCCAATCGAGCATACAGATGAAGGCCTCGCGGTCGAAAATCGGTTTGTTGAAACCGAGTAAGGGCGGGCAGCACATCATCGCCACGCTGATCCATGTGAAGACCATCCAGCATTGACATCGGGTTTTTGTCTGTACTGTCTCGTATCTGAGTGGTTTTCTGTAAAAGCCACAAATTAGAAACCCATATTATTATAAAGTCGCCTATAGAAAGAGCTTGCAAAAGCCAAATCTCAGCTATGATATTTTACCAGATAATAGGACTGTTACAATTAAAAGTAATAATGTACGATTAGAAATATCTAATATAATATTAAACGCATATATGTAGCAAAAAAAGAAAATAAATAATATAATAAGATCTGTATAAACATATTATGTTAATATGACATCTATGTATTGCTATTGTCAAGATATGTGGTATAATTATAATACATTTGTCATATATAATTAATAATATATCTCGGTATAATATACGTAAATGAAATATACCTGATGGCCAGATAACGATCCACAGAGATCCACATGAAGGTATATACTGATACCGCCCAAAGCGTGACTTCCAAGTAACCGACAAGTCGGCACACGATATCTCCGTAGACCCATCTTCGCACCAATGCTGGATACACCGAGAGCGGTACCACTAACACACCACACAGAAGATCTGCCGAGGCGAGTGATAGCAAATAGTAATTTATCACCTCGGAGGGACCTATAAAAACAAAATATTCTTAATATAATATAAGTGATTATTATCATCTATTCATTTATTGTTCCTCTTTTTTTTTATTGGTATAAATTATATTAGAGATTAGCAACTAATTAATTCTAAGATTTTTAGAATTTTCAAAGATTGAAACATTAAATTCCATATAATTCTGAAAGTCTAAAATATTTGGTTCAAATATTTTTTTTTAATTTAAATATTGATTCAAACATTTAAAGTATAGTAATATATATCATTTTAAATTAAATCTGTAATTTATGTAAATCCTTATATTAAATACAAAATAATATATATATTTTTAAATTAAAAGAATTTATACATTAAAAATAAGTATATTTTAAGAATTTGATATTTTTAAGGATTTATCGTTAACAAAATGTTGAAATTCACATTGTATATAAACCAAAATTGTATAAGATAAGAATGTATAGAGGAAACATAAGAATGGGGAAATAGCAAAATTGTTAAATTTACGAATATGTACACTATTAATTATTGATGTACTAAGTCAATAGTTCAGTCTATTAATAATGAAGTTATACTGCTTACGACTTTCAAAGAAAAGTATATATGCAGACAAAAAAGGAAGTATATGCTGGAATGTTGAATGCGTGCTCATTTAATTAAATATGACAACTAAAATCGACATAAATATAATTTTAAAATGTGCAATATTTGCGAAGGCAAAGAATTTTGACTTACCGCGGAAGTTGAGGTAAGTGACGATAATAAGAAGATTCGAAATGATGATGGCGACGGCGACCACGAAAATAAGGCCCGCCTGCATGAGAGCCTCCAACGAGTGCTCCTCCATACCGCCACTTTTTCGAGCTGCATCCCCCCCACCCACCCTTAAATGCTTGTACCCTTCACCCTTTTCGCGATCTTTCCGCTGCCAGGTACTGGACCTTCCTAGGTAGCTTGCACTTTCAGCTACTGCACGCTTGTTTTCTTCGTTACGTTCCTAAGGCTACTCGGCACTCTTAGAAAGGAATGTTTAAAGTCCTTAGGCAAATGAGTCCTCGATACTGAAGTTAGGTCTTCGAGGATCTTGATATATAATCGACGTAACTGTATCACTGTAAAATCGAAAGAATTTTAATTTGCATGCGCAATTTGTTGCGATTATCTTGTGCATATTTTTTATTTATTTTATATAAGTGATTAAAATGCATTTTTGCAGAAATAGTTTTTTAAATAAAACAACTAATTTATTATACGTAATATATTGTAATCTAGTAATATATTGTTGCGTTACACAAGTAAAAAAATTGGCATTTTGGAAATAATGAAAAGAAATTGATCTCTCTCTGTCTCTTTCTCCTAAAGACTAATACATTTTTGTGGAAAAACAATACGCTTATAGTTTATTTACTTATATGCAATAATGTTATAATTCTATGATAACGGATAAAATTTACACTATATAGAGTTATAGAGTAATTTCGGTATTTACACTGCGCGGAAAATTAAGCCTATTCTAAGTGCAACAGAACGCGATAGTTTTGCAACCGTTTTATGGTTGTCTGCTAAACGGTTCTAAACGTACTCAACGTCTCAATGTTTACTTAGCGGTGGTTATGATTTCCAACAAACTATATAAAAGTATACTGAGTCTCAAGCAAAACGTGTTGACCCAAATGGCTGCTTTCAATGTATCGTTCTTTGAAACATAAATGTATAAGGTGTACGAAAAATTCCGAACCCTTAAATATCTTGATAAATAAACACACACACACACATTTCTAAAAAAAAATGTTTTTTCAAAAATTATAGGATTTAAAAATGCATTAGATGATAATATTTATTTGAAATTTGAATGACTTTAAAAAACCCGGTCTATGTTAATGTATCTTAATTGGAATCTTTTAATTGGAAATGTCTATTTTTTTATATATTTTTGTAGATGAAATCGAGACGTTTTCAAAACTATAATAAAATATGTTTCTTACTAGTATTTTTCGAGTTATGAGGCTTGAAAGTTACTGCTGGCATTAGCATTACTTAAGGAGTATCGAACTTTTCTTTACATCCTGTACATATGACGATGTAAGGGGCTGTATATAATCAAGGAATAAGAACAGAGAATAAGAACAGGACAGAGAATAAAAATTTCAATCTATCAGAAACTGTGTATTCCATATAGTGCATGGTTTCTGATTGGTTGAAATTCTTATTCTTTGTGTTCCCTGTTCTTTCACTATTCCTTTGATTATGCGTAAGTCCCTAATTTACAATGTAGTATGCACTTTTGATACACACAAAGTTGTTGCTGTCGGTTCAATCACTGTCAATGGAAGATTAAAAACATTTTTTATATATCGTAAAGATTAGATTTTTCTATACTCGCATGCAATAGTTAATACTATAAGAACGTTCAGCAAAATACACTCAACATGTTAATTGCAATTCATCAGTAAATTGTTACGCAACAATTGCGTTTTGCTGAACGTATCCAATGTATTTTTTGCATCTTGTTTCATGTCTTCTGCCTTTTGTGTTATTGCTTCTTGTATTTTTGTCACATGGTGTTGAGCAACATCAATTTGTCTCTCTCTTTTCTGAATTAAGAAAAAAAAACATTATTTTTCACATAGATCGCAATTACAGGTCGCCAGTCAAAGTCTATTCTTATACTAATACATTCTTGTTATTGTTATTATTGTAAAGATTATGTTATTAGTGTTTCTGCACCAAATTTACTGCTAAATAGAATGAACTAATCTCTTCAATCTAATTTAATCTAAATTGCCACGTCGTATTTAGCGATGTTTTCTGTCGCCCAAGATGAAAGTTGAAATTCTGAAGAGACAAGAAACACATGATAAGAAATATAAACGTCGATAAAACAGTGCGCAAAGAAACAAAAAGGCAAGAGACAAAAAGCAAGAAACAGGAAATCAAGAGTACATTGTAAAATAGAATTTACTGCAAAAATCAGAAAAACAGGAGTGAGGATAATTTGCATGCAATTACTCTGTTATATGCCTTTATGTTACTATTGTGTTATAATTTCAGTTTTTTACTGTTAATATTAATAAAACCACTGTCAGTTGAATTGATTTGTCAATGTAGTAAATATTGCAATCATATATTATAATCTACATACATTGATTACTGTAGGGAATGCAAAGGCTTAATGGTTATTTGGTGATAACATGAGGGATAGTGAAGAATGAAGTATAGCAAAATACAAGTGTTGTTCTTTATTCAACTTGATATTTTGTATATCTGATCTGTTTGGTTTGATACGGCATTTTTAGTAAACGAGATTTATGCTCACAAATTGCTGCAAATTCTGTGCTGTGCAATCATGACATAGTTTGAAAGAATACAATATATAATTAAGACATTATAGTTTTAATTATATAATATATTCTTTCTAATAATATGGAAAGAAAATAAATTATTCTAACATATTCACTAACTTAATTAAAACGTCATTCCAAATAAAAATTTAAAAAATGCTCTATTAAAAAATTATTAATTTTGAGATGTCATTTTTTCATCAACGCTTCGATATATTAATTAATTGTAAGAAATCAATAAACGAAGTAAACCTTTAAAAACGTAGAAATAATAAAAATTATATTATAAATTTATAAAAATGTACTTGAGTGAATAGTTTATTTTAAAAAAAGTGTCTAGAATATAAAATTACTGGATATTATTTATTATTCTCTATAATATATTAATTATCAAATATAACCATTAAGATCTTTTTGACAGTTTTTTAGATTAACATAATCCAATTTCAAATATAAAAAAATGTTACGTAATATTATTAATGGATCTTGAGTTTTGTTATACTTGAATAAAAGTTATTAATAAATATTTAATTATCTTGTCATTTAAAAAAAATTTGAGGAAAGAAATAATTTATTAATTATGCAAAAAAGAAATTAACTTATACTTAGGCAAGCGCTGTTTGTATAAAGAATAATGAAAAGTTCTAAATTAAGACTGTCACGCGTGCCGTGCATTTTCAAGTTTGAGGTCAGTGTGTCAGTCTAGTTTGGTTTTAGAGGTGAAGAACGGGCGTAGAGGAGGGAAGTTACATAGGAAAATTGCATTCCGAAGGATAGATCAGTTGGATAACGTACAGAACGAGCGTATTGGACAAGTTTCTGGATCGTTCGTGTCGATAATACACGCCGCCGTTGAAGACTTTTCTTCCTTTTTATTTTCCCGCGAAAGCCACGTAATTCTTCTCTTGTGGAAACACCCGCACGATAGTTTCCTTCCCTTAGTATCGACCGCCATTCATAATTTAGCTGAGTCGATCTTGAATGGAGGGGTGTATTATGTAGCATCGTACTGTCTGTTATGTTTCCTAAATTAAAGTGGAACTTTGACATTGTATGACAGAATGACACATTGTCACGTGACACCATTGACGACATAAAGCAGAAACAATATGTAATTGCATGTATATAATAAAATATAGACAATTGAGACAATTGATACTGCACTTTCCTCTGAAAGAACATCGCGCTTTATGCAATTATTTTATAAATAAAGGTATTTTTTCATATGCGTTAAATATATATATGTAATAATTAATTTTATAACTTTGTTTATAGGATTTTAATATTTATAATGTAATTTGGAAAATAAACTTTTTAGCTTATATAAAGTTAAAGATTAAATATAATTTTTTTAAATAAAATATAAGATATTTTTTCTTTTGTTTTATATAAAAATGTTTTAAACTATAACAATAATATTCAATATTTCAATAATGTTTACATATAATTTATTCGTAACATTTATTTATGTATCTCGCACATAAATATTTAAAAATTGTATAATTATTTGAATTATCTGTCAAACAGATCAAGAATTTGTTTAAATAAGAATTTCTTTGGCAAAATTAAATTGCAAAAGTTTTTTCCTTAATTTTTTTAAATATTTATGATGTTTTTTTTCTTTACAAATGTATAAAATTATATCGTTAATAAGAAAATATTTCACAATATAAGAATTCAATCAATTATTTTTTAATTAATCAATTGTTTCTATAAAGTGAAGAGAGAGAGTATCGAAAATATGATTCATTAATCTCAGAGATAAACTTAACATCGAATTCGAATCTTCGACTGAACGTTTCTCTGGCATTACATCGTGCTTTCCATTGGATTAGCCTTTCAACAAACTCGCAGTCAGCAACAATTTGAAACCAGCTGCAACCAGCTGCATTTCTAACCGAGGCGTGGGCGTTTGTCCACGTGAAAGCGACGTAATCAACTCGAAGATCAATATATGTTGCAATTATCGTTTATAATGGTTGCTTAATTATAAGCAAAACGTCATAAATGTCGACACGCAACGATCGAGATCTTTGTTACGTAAAAAGCAGCTTAATGAAGCCTCAAATATGTTACGATTTGAGTAAATCAAGACGCTCGCTAGCTGTCTCTTTTGTCTCTTGTCGCTACTAATGTCGATATTTTCGATAGTGACAGCATGATTCCGCTACTGATTTTTACCATTTTATTTCCTTTTTATCAAATATAAAAAAAGTGCGATACAAATATTGACCTACGAGATTGTCAGAACGCGAAATAGTCATCAGCAGTTTTCATTCACTGGCGGTTGATATTGATCGCACACGTCGGAGAAAGCAATTTTATTTGTTGCACAGTTCAGGTAACAGTTTAAAATAATACAATATGCTAAGAATATGGTTGATATCTATTCAATAAAATAAGCAATAAATTTGGATATCTTTTTCATTTTATACAAATTATTATATAAAATAAAATGCTTTCAGAATTTTGGAATCTTTTGCAAAATCTTTTTAAGTTTTTGTCG